ATCCCTCTCTCTTCCTCTCTGTAAAAAATCAATAAAATATATTTTTTTTAAAGTGAAAATTAAAAAAATAAAGGCAGCTCTAACCGGTTTGGCTCAGTGGATAGAGCGTCGGCCTGTGGACTGAAGGGTTCTGGGTTCAACAGGTCAAGGGCATGTACCTTGGTTGCGGGCACATCCCCAGTTAGGGGTGTGCAGGAGGTAACTAATTGATACTCATATTGATACTTGATAGAAGTTAACTTGTGTCAGGGTATGCACAGAAATATCAGACTTACCACAGAAATGTGATTAAGGAGGAGCCTGACCCACCAACCCACTTCTATATTTGTAAATTTGGAATTCTTAAAGGCCTCAGTGGTGTTCCTTGTAAATGTCAAGTCTCTACTGTGCAAAGATGTCCACTACACAATGCTTTCCACTTTAATTAGCACCCATATTAAACTTTTTCAGAACCTCCTGTTTCTCTCACATCACAATCTATACTAATAAGAATATGCTAATTAAACAGTCAACCAGACATCTTCCGGACAAAGCCATAGTGGGTGGCGGTGGCTGAGGCAGAGGTGGTTAGGGGCATTCAGTCCAGCAGGGGAGCAGTTAGGGGTGGCCAAGCTGGCAGAGGGGCAATTAGGGGGTGACCAGGCTGTCAGGGGACCAGTTAGGGGGTTACCAGATTGGTGGAGGACCAGTTAGGGGGCAATCAGGCCAGCAAGCAAAGGCAGTTAGGGGTGATCAGGCAGACAGGTGAGCGGTTAGGAGCCAGAGGTCCCAGATTGCAAGAGGGATGTCCAACTGCTGGTTTAAGCACCATCCCTGAGGGGTCCCAGGTTGGAGAGGGTGCAGGTTGGGCTGAGAAGATCCCCCACCCCTGTTCATGAACTTCGTGCACAAGGACCTCTAGTCTATATAATAAAAGCCTAAGCGACCGATAAGGCGGAACGATCAGAATGACTGGTCATTATGATGTGTACTGACCACCAGGGGACAGACACTCAATGCAGGAGACATCTCCCAGTGGTCAGGGCACTTCCAGTGCACGCCGCTCAGCCAGAAGCTGGGCTCACAGCTGGCAAGCACAGCGGCAGTAGAGGGAGCCTCTCCCAGCTCTGTGGCAGCTAGCAGATGGGCAGTAAGGAGCAAGGGGTACCGGATTGCAAGAGGGATGTCTGCCTGCCAGCTTAGGCCCAATCCCCATGGGTAGCAAGCATAAGCTGACAGGCAGACATCCCCAAAGGGTCCCAGACTGTGAGAAGGCGCAGGCCGGGCTGAGGGACACCCGCCCCCCTCCAGTGCATACTGGGCCTTTAGTATTATTTATAACACAAAAAAGTACAAACAACATAAGCATCCAACCACAGAGTTAAGTGAGGCCAAATACACATGGTGGGATATCAGAAATCAAGTAAAATATTCACAATATAATGTAGGAATAAAAACTCAGGTTATAAAATGATATTTAGAATATAACCCCATGTTGTAAAAACATATACGGTATTTATATTCTAAGTCAAATTATTGCAGTTAGCCCTAGCCAGTATTGCTCAGTGGCCAGGCAAGGGTGAGGAACGTCTGCAAAAAGCATTTGGTCTGGCCCTGCCAAGGCATTAGGAGTGAGTTAATTAAATGTCTGACCAAATACAGCAGGCTAATTTTTAAGTGGATAATTTTGTATGGTCTGTGAATGATGCTATAAATATCCAATGGCCTTAGCAGTGAAAAAGGTCCCCACCCCTGGGATAGAGTGTCAACCAAAGGGTCACTAGTTTAATTCCTGGTCAAAAGCACCTTTCTAGGTTGTGCGTTTGTTCGCTTTCTGGCCCAATCGGGCACGTGGGGCACATGCAGGCACATGTGGGGGCAACTAAGCTTTGCGTCTCTACACATCTGTTTTTTTCTGTCTCTCTCTCTCTCATTCCCTTTCTCCCTCCCTCTAAAAAATCAATGGGGAAAAAATGATGGGAGTTAATGCAATAAAAAATTAAGTGTACTGTGCTGAACAGTAGACTTATAGGTAAGTTTTGTTTCCTTCTTTATTCTTTTTCTATATTTTCTATAATGAGCATGTCTCCACTATATAGTTGAGGGGAAAATTAAAATATTATTTTAAAAAGAAAATGTAACTTTCAGGGTTGGGTGTGGGTTAAGATAATTTATGCAAAGTCCTACCCTACATCCTATCAGTAAGCACTGAGAAACCATTCCTTCCTGTTTCTTGTACCCAGACTGTGAAAATGGGGTCTCTATATTGTGGGCAAGAGTTCAATTTCCAGATTTGAATCTACACACGTCCCACACAATCCAAAGCAAGGGTCACAGAGAATAGCCCTTTTCATGAAGATTCATTCCCTTCTTCATTGAAAAATGTAAGGGGTGGGGAAAGAGTGAATTGGTAAAGGTGGTCAAATATATATTAATGAAAGGTAACTAGACATTTGGTGGTGAGCACATAATAGAGTATACAGATATATAACTATAATGCTGTACAGCTGAAATTTATATAATGTTATTAACTAATGTTAAATGCACTCAGTATGGCCCTAGCCAGTTTGGCTCAGTGAAGGGTCCTGGGTTTGATTCCAGTCAAGGGCACATACCAGGGTTGTGGGCTCGATCCCCAGTGGGGGGCGTGCAGGAGGTGGCCAATCAGTGATTCTCTCTCATCACTGATGTTTCTAACTAACTCTCCCTCCCTCTTCCTCTCTGAGATCAATAAAAATATTTTGAAAACAAGCAAAAAAGAATAAAGAGGGCATGTGGGGGGTGAGTAGGGAAGGACAGGGGGAAAGGTCAATGGGGGAAAAAAGAAACATATATACTACTATTTGTAATACTTTAAATAATAAAATTAAATTTAAAAATAAATAAAAATAATTTTAAATATTAAAAAAGTTAAATTCTTATCCATTTAAAATTCCCAATATAAAGTACAGTTCTAAATATTATATATATATGAAATGTACTCAGCATCTATTATATGTTTAGGTCTAAACTAGATTCTGAGGATACCAAAAAATGAAAAGATGACATCTCTGTTCTCGGGTAGTTCCAGCTAGTAAGTGACATAGATGTATTTACAACTATGATATGACGGAATAATTTCTTTTGGTAAGGATGTACACAAGTGTAACGGGAAGCCAGTGGAAGAAGGCCTTTTACAGAAGAGGTATATTGTGAGTTGTAAAAGACAGGACATTAGTCAAAATAGAATGTGCAAAGACAGTCACAGAAAATTTGTTTTAGAATTATAAATGCCCAGCCAGCATGGCTCAGTGGTTGAGCATCAACCTATGAACCAGGAGGTCACAGGTTCAATTCCTGGTCAGGGCACATGCCCGGGTTGTGGGCTCGATCCCCAGTAGGGCATGTGTAGGAGGCAACCAATTCATGGTTCTCTCTTACATTGGATGTTTCTATCTCTCCCTCTCCCTTCCTCTCTGAAATCAATTAAAAAAAATTTTTAACTATAAGTAGTTCAAATCTTGCTAGGCCATAAAAAATAAGGGAGGACAAGTGGCAGGAACTGAGATTGAACAAAGATCACAAAAGGTCTTGTCTGTCACACAAAGAAGGCTGAAGAACTTTATTCTGGCCCAGCTAGTGTGGCTCAGTGGTTGAGTATTGACCTGTAAACGAGGAGGTCACAGTTCGATTCCTGATAAGAGCACATGCCTGGGTTGCGGGCTCAATCCCCAATGTGGGGCGTGTGGAAGGCAGCCGATCAATGACTCATCACTGATGTTTCTATCTCTCCCTTTCCCTTACTCTCTGAAATCAATTTAAAAATTTAGAAAAAAAAATTTATTCTGTAATGGAACCAACAAAAAAATATTTATTTTAACAGTGGAGTGACTTGATCAGCACTGGCAAAGATATAAGGAGTCCTGAAAAACATCTTAATCCTCACTTATTTTCCGAGGGAAAGAAAAAGTCCCATCCTTTACGTCTGTCCCCTCTGAAATGAAATAACATGAGGCAGTAAACAGAACTCTGCACCTGGCCCACAGGAAAAAGTCAATAAAAATCAGTTGAATATGAATTTGGATGTGCTACATGAGGCAGTCCCTGCTGAGAGCAGAATTTTAGCAACACCAGCGCCTTGTTTGGTCCTGGGTATATAACAGAAACAGCTCTTTGGAAGGGCCTAGTGACTGAAAATTCTAAAATCTAACAACATGCAACGGGAGGAGGGTGCCATATACTGATTTGTTGTACTCCAGTATACAAAGGCCTCTCTCAGTTTTCTTCCTAGACCTGGGATTTAAGTCCCAATAATGGGATAACATTACAGTTTTATTCCACACACTAACCTCTCTAGAACCCTGGATAGCAGGTGCATACGTGCACACGTGGTAAACTGGAGGGAGATCATGAGTGATTTTACTGCTGCTGTTTTACCCAACATCTCTTCTGCTTAATTCAATCTAGTTAGATGCTTCTGCAGATAAATGCTATAGAAATAAAACACTGTTGAATTTCTGCCTCCATTAACCGGGTGCACGCAAAACGCTTTAAATAATCAGGAAGGATGCACTAGATATATTTTATAGGAGAAGACAATGAGGCAAAGAGAAGCAGCGCAACTAGCCCAAGGCAAACTTGCTACAGTAAATCACAAAGCCAGAACTCAAATCTGTCTTTATTGGCCTCGAATATCCAAAAATGTAATATTGTCTCCTCCGAAGCCTGGCTCTGAGATAAAATTATCGGTAGACAAAAATGGTCCTTTGTAGTTGGAAAAGAAATTATTTTCTAAATTAAAAAAAAAAAAATCCAAAGAAGGGTGCCAAGCAAAAATACATAGGGAGAAAGAGAAGAGAAAAAAAAGAGAGAGAGAGAGAGAGAAAGCAGAGGCCAATGTCAGCTAGACCCTAGCGGGAAGGAGGGACGGAGGAACCTGGGTCTGGGAGGTGGATTGGAGGAATCAAGTTTGAGTGGGAATGTGAACCAGAGCAGGGAGGAAAGCGAGGGCCACACCTGTCCCCCCGGCCTGCCTTCCTTACCTGCCGTGAAACCAGTCCTGGCACATGTCACACTCGATCATGAAGCGGGTCACATCGTAAGGCAGCCGGCACAGGCAGTACACCGGCACCGTGGCCATCTTCGGCTGGCCTGGGAGCGTGGTGTGGCAAGCCAGGTTCAGGGCGTCCCGGGGAGGGGAGGCAGAAGCACGCGTCCTTCCTGGACCTGGGCTGGGCACAAAAAAAAACACTTTTTCACCCCGTCGATCCGGTGCCCCGGGGTACCAGCCCTCCGTCCGCCAGCGGGCTCAGGGACCACAGCCGGGGTGCAACACAGGGGTGTGGCTGGAGGGGGCAGTGGGCGAGAGCCCACCGGCTTGCACAAATAAAGACCGAAGCCCGTGCCCCGGAGGCTTGCCCCCCCCCACCCCTCCTCGCTGCCTCCTCGGCACCCACCCCCACCCCGAGTCCCTGCGAACTTTCTGGGGTTCGGGGAGATAGCCGACGCTTTAAGGAAGCTTCTTGGATCCCTCGCTGCCCAGAGCGCTCTTTATTACGAGGCCAGGAGGAGGCGGAGGGGGGGGGGACCCCGCTTTAGACCCTCTGTCTGCCCCCCAACAGGGGCAGCTGGCGAGGGATGGGGAGCCCACGGCCACGGGCTCGCTCCGTCGCAAATGACCCCGCCGCCGCCGCCTTCGGGAGCAGGGCAGAGGCGCCCAACTCCAAGCACAGTTGCGGGGTCCCGTTGTGGGAACTCTCCCCGTCATCCCCACCCCGGCCGCTGAGAGCAATCACCGCCCCGCAAGTCGGCAGCTCGTCGTCTCTTTCCCGCACGCCCGCGTGCTCCCGCGGCACCCCGAAACTAAAGAGGGGCGCTCCGAGCCCCCCCGCAGCTGAGCGCGGTCCCCTCACACACTCCCGCAAGTGAGCGGCGGTTTGTTTGCTCCTCGCCGCTCGGACCCTGGCAGGCATCTCCCCCCTCCCCCCTCCCCGCTTCCCCGGGAGAAGGTCTCCCCGCCCCCCGACCCCCCCAAAACGGACCCAGATCGCCCCGACTGACAGGAAAAGCCTCGCAGCCCCCAAACTTACGAGAACGTCTTCGCACCTCCCAGCCTGACAGGAATCTCCTCACACCTCCGGGCTGACAACAATGTCTGCGGTCCCGGGCTCGGCGCGGACCTCCGCGTCCGCCACGCCGCGCGGACCGCTCCCGCCGGCGAGGCTCCGTGCGCCCCCCGCCGCGCCGGCCGCCGGGCTCGCTCGGGAGCCGTAGGCGTCGCTCGGCGGAGGCTCGGCCGGCAGTTCCGGCCCCACCGGCGGCGCGCGCCGGATTCTGGGATTTTCCCGGCCGCGCAGCCGACCTCGCCCGGCGGCCCCCGCGACCACCCGCTGGGGCTCGGCCCCCCGCCGCCCAGCGGCGCTTCCGGGCAGTTCTCCGCGCGGCCCGGCCCCGGGCTCGGCCGCCGGGGCCTACCGGAGACCGCGGCTCGGGCCTAGTCCGGAGGCCGCCGCTCGCGTCGTCGCCGGCGCGGCCGGAGCTTCGCGGCGAGCAAAGCGACGAGGGAGGAGAGGACCCGGCGGCCAGACGGCGAGGAGAACGGCCCGGAAAGCCGCCCGGAGAAGCCCGGTGGCGGTGGGAGGCAATTCGGAGTAGTCAATAAAGTTTATTCAAAACAACGAGGAAGTGGAAGCGCCGAGAGGGGAGGAGAATACGGGGTAAACAGCTCCCATACTGAGAGTGGCGGCGCGGCCGCAAGGAGGCGGCGCGACAGCCATCTTATGAGGGCGCCGCACGCGAACGCCGGCGGCGGCGGCGGCGAGGGGCGGGGCCTGGCGGACGCCGGCTCCCGCGTGACGTCGGGGGGCGGGGCCTGTCTTGAGAAAGAGGGGCGGGGCCCGGCTGCCCTGGGACCCGCTCGCCTCCTCCGGGCGCCCAATGGACGCGGAGGGCCGGGAGCGGGGAGGCGGGGGAGCCGCCATCTTAGACGAGGCGGGCGCTTGGCTCCATTTTGAAAGGGGCCAGAAGCTTCCAAGCCTTCCCCCTCGGGGCCGGCGGGGAGGGAGGCGCTTCGCCGCCACCACACAACGCCCTCCCAGCCTCTCCTCCCATGAGAGGAGGTGGGCTCTGCCTGGAAGCTGCAAAATGAAGAGGTGGCGGGGAGAGGAGGGGAAGGGGAGTCTGGGGCCAGGGCGGAGGCGGAGTCTGCATCCAGCCTTGCGTTCAGGCTCAAACCCTTTCACTGCATCTCCGAGGCGTGTGTGTTCCTCGCTGTAAGGAAGCTCCGTTGGGATCCCCGAAAGGAGGGTCCGGTTTTAGAGGTGACATGTATTTCCGAGCTGGGAAGCAACCTTACGCCCTCTACAACCCCCGCGTTCTGTCCTCGGTCCCGTTCCTGATCAGTTGTGTCCATTTCCTACGGTAGCTCCCTGGGACCTCTCTCCTCTAGCCTTATGGCTTCAGTGCAGTTCAGATCCAGTTCAGATATTTCCCTGCGCAAAAAAAAAATAAAAAATAGATAAATAATTATATATATATATATATATATATATATATATATATATATATATATATTTCACTGTCCAAGTCCCACGATTTTCTGACTCCAGCCAGCGGGTGAGGTGGGAGAAGACGTTGAATGAATGGAGTTCCACACACCTGCTTCAAGATGGCGCTGGTTTGCTCAGGCAATTGAGAATAGTCTCCAGGAATCCTCTTATTATTGGATTTTCTTAAAGGGTCCCACGCTTAAAAAAAAAAAAAATTGAGAGTGCGCGCATCACTTTTATTAATGAGAGTGGGTTAGGCCCAAGGGGTGCAATGATGGACAGAGGGACTGTGCAGTGAGAAATTTCCAGCCAGTGCAGGATGCCAGCTTGCAAATCAACAGTTGGAGTACAAGTCCAGTAGGCACGCAGATGCCAAGTAAAGCTAAGAAAGTGCTCAGCAGCTGCTTGCTGCTGTCCAGGGAGATTTCACTTCACATTGCAGATGAAAGGATCAACAAATATAAATGCATGCAGACACCTGGGGAAACATTTGCAAAATAAATGAGTATTAGATTTTATCGTGCAAGCATTAAAAAAAACACTAAAGGTTTTTGAGCAAGAACAGCTGAGTGGCATTTGTGTCTTAGGCTCAGGAAATGCCAGGTTTACTGGCACCTAAAGCTTATACAGTTTGTGGGACTTTAAGAAAACAATACACACTTGTGCCCGACTGGCATAGCTCCGTGATTGAGTATCCACCTATGAACCAGGAGGTCATGGTTCCATTCCTGGTTTGGGCACATGCCCAGGTTGTGGGCTCGATCCCCTGTGTGAGGCATGCAGGAGGCAGCTGATCCATGATTTCCTCTCATCATTGATGTTTCTCTCTCTCCTCCCTTCCTCTCGGTAATCAATAAAAAAATACATTTTTTAAAAAAGAATATACACTTGTGAATACAAAATTAGGTTCAAAGGGTAGGCAGAATATTTCCAGAAGTCATTCCCGAGCAATAACTATGAATAGAAGTTATACAGACCACATATAAATGTCCCAGTAAACCCAAACTAAATATGTACCCCAAACAAATTTCCACTTAGCTGGACCTCAAAAATGTCTGAAGCAACTCCAACACCACCTAATACAGGAGAAAATGGCGCCAGGGAAACTCCGTGCAAAGGGATAGCAGTTGTTTTCAATGAAATCTTTATTGTTGAAAGTATTACATAGGTCCCCTTTTCCCCCCATCCACCCCTTCTAGCCCGCACCCACCCACCTCCACCTCCCATCCCACCGCCCTACTGTCTGTGTCCATGGGCTATACATGTGTGCATACAAGTTCTTTGGTTGATCTCTTCCCACCCACCCTCCCCTGCTTTCCCTCTGAGATTCTGCAGTCTGTTCCATGCTTCTATGTCTCTGGATCTGTTTTGTCTGTTAGTTTATTTTATTCATTAGATTCCACATATTAGTGAGATTGTGTGATATTTGTCTTTCTCTGACAGCAGTTTTTTAATGTTTTTATTAATTTTTAGAGATAAAGGAAGGGAGAAGGATAGAGAGATACAAACATCATCAGTCCGCTGCCTCCTGGATGCCCTCCATTAGGGATCAAACCCACAACCCTGACATGTGCCCTGACAGGGAATCAATCCAGTGACTCTTGGTTCCTGGATTGACATGACACCAACCACTGAGCCACACCAGCCCAGCAGGGACAGCAGTTTTAACCAATAAGTATATTTTACAAACTTTATAAAACACATGACCAGCCGTAACCGGTTTGGCTCAGTGGATAGAGCATCGCCTGCAGACTCAAGGGTCCCAGGTTCAATTCCAGTCAAGGGCATGTACCTTGGTTGCGGGCACATCCCCAGTTGGGGCGGGGGGCGGTGCAGGAAGCAGCTGATCATGGTTCTCTCTCATCCATGTTTCTAACTCTTTATCCCTCTCCGTTCCTCTCTGTAAGAAATCAATAAAATATATTTTTTTAAAGAAACTTGACTAAGCTTTCTTAGCTTCACAAGGATGTAGAAGGGCGCTCACTTCAGCAGCACGTGTATTAAATTGGAAAGAGAAGATTAGCATGGCCCCTACACAGGGATGACATGCAAATGCATGAAGTTTTCACACAAAAAAAAGAATGAGGTAAGAGACTATTGCATTAGTTATGAAAAAAAAATGTGGCCTTCGTCAGGATAGTTGTAGCAGGGGTAGAAAAGGATCAGATAAGGAGAGACTGAATAGGCAGAGCTTGGGGACATTTGACCCAGAGATCCCACTTCTAGGAATATATCCTAAGAAACTGGAAACACCAATCAGAAAGGATATATGCACCCCTATATTCACAGCAGCACCATTCACCATAGCTAAGATTTGGAAACAGCCTAGGTGCCCAGTAGCAGATGAGTGGATTAGAAAACTATGGTACATCTACGCAATGGAATACTACGCTGCTACAAAAAAGAAGGAATTCTTACCATTTGCAGCAACCTGGATGGGATTGGAGAGCATAATGCTGAGTGAAATAAGCCAGTCAATGAAAGAAAAATATCACGTGATCCCACTCATTTGTGGATGATAAAGAACATTATAACCTGATGAACAAAAAGATAGATACAGAGACAGTAAAGCATCAAACAGTCAAATGACAGC